ATTTTTAATTAATATTTTATATACATTTACTGAATTTAATTGATATTTTATATATTTTGAATAATAAAAAAAAACTTATTGTTGTAGAACAGTATAACACCACATTGACAAATGAAGTTTATGCAAAGAAAAATACTTAATCAATCTATTTTTAAGATTAATGAATATCTTTTTTTTTTTAGCTCAATCTCCTCATTATGTATACATTTCTTAAAAATCGTTGAGTATTTATTTAAAAATTTAAAAAAAATTTGGATCTTACAGCAATTTTACAATTTTATATGCAGATAAGACTAGATAAAAAATAGGTGGTTGTAAAACACTATGAAGCCTCAGGCCGGCAGCTTAGTCAACCAAACATTATATAATGGAGAAACGAATCAAGCGCATTCTAAATCCAAAGCAGCTGACACAACCGAGAAATCCTATGTATTTATAAGGGACAGAGACAGAGACGAAGAGACAAGGTATCAGAGGAAGCAACAATAAAAGTTCCAGTAAATGTGATCCAAATCAATCGCGACTTTGACCCTCGTTTTGAGGATCTTCACTCTCTTTTTTGCATTTGCATCCTTTCTGTTTCTACTCAAAAACAAAATTGAATTCAAGCAAAACAAGGTTACCTTCAAGTTTTCCACCTACAGGTAATACAAAATTAATTTAAACTCTTGTAATTCAATAAAATGACACTAATAACTCGTTTAATTTGAGAGAAAATAAAGAAAAAGAGCCTTATTATAACTAATTAAATTAAATTGTTAACTTGTTTATTAAGTTAACAATTTAATTTAATTAGTTATAATAATTTTTGCTCCTTTTCCTTCAAACCGAACATGCATAGCGGTACTAACATTATGAGACATTGAAGTGCAGGTACGTGTTCTATACTGCTGTTGTTGCGGCAGCGTATACCCTGTTGCAGATACCCTTTGCTATCTACAACCTGAAAAATGACAAAAGGATGATCAATTTCTTGCGGAAATTTGATTTCTATGCGGACGGGCTAATTAGCCTTCTACTGGGCACAGGTGTCGACGCTGGCTTTGCTGTAACGAATGAGTTGAAGCAACTGATAGATCATCTTATCTTTGAGGATTGGGGTACTGACGACCCAAAATCTGCTTTTGCTAATTTCCTGAACAAGGTATATGGCGGTACAGGGCTACTCTTGGGTGCATTTATATGCATGATTGTGCTCTTAGCACTCTCCTCTGCCAATCGAAATGCAAGAGACTCTAGTTTGAATAACAATTATAGTGCTTCCATTCAACTTTAGTTGTTTTAATTTAGTTTTTAATTTTTTAGATGTTAATTATGTATATATGATTTTTTAAAACCTGTTAATTGTACTTTTTTTATTACTTATTATAAAAAATAAAAATTAATTTTAATTTTATTAATTATCCAATTAAAATTCTTCATATATTTATAGCATTAAAAATAAAGTCAACTTTTATATTTTTTTATATTAATTAAAAGAGAATAACACATATTAGACAAATTTTTATAAA